GATTCACTACTTTAAAATGAAGAAAGATTTAGTGCTAACAATAACTTTTTCAATTGAGGGCGTAAACCCTTCACAAACCAATCACATGAGTATTTTTCCGTAGGGACCAACTCTACTAAAAATCTACTCAACTTGTAGAACTCACACTCGTACTCATACACAGTGCGATTCCCTTGCTTCAAATTCATAAATTCTAGTTTCATCTTACGGATGAATTGATCCCCGATGTATTTGTTCTTAAACCCATCCAGAAAGAGCGACCATGTCACCTGGTCCTTTGTAGCTCGCATCATCACATTCGTCCACCATATTCTGGCTTGACCTCTTAGTTATGAAACTACCCCATTAGCTTCTCAATTTCAGAACAATGGAGACTCTATAGCATAATCTTAATGTCATTAAGCCACATATCAACAACAATGGGACCTTCCTCAGTTTATCCTTTAAATTCAGGTGCTCCCAAACTTCTAAGCTCCTTAGCCACATTCATCTTAGGAGCTGAGGCAGTAGACGGTTGGAAACAAGTTAGAAACTTGTCCAACGTCTGGAAAAATGTCCCTTGGTCTTGTATAGGCATTCCCTGTGGCACATGTTCCTCACCTTGCCTACTTGGGGTTGGTGAGTTACTACTACCTTCATTTCTATCTCCCGCTTCACTTCGGGAGCCCTCAAAGTCCGACATTTAGCAAGATCAAATCATTATTTATTTAGTAAGGACAACATACTAATTACCTTATCAGATCAGAAAGACTTAACTCTTAGTTGACATGTACACTTTTTAAAACCAAACACGACCTTATTTCGAACTTAAAATCAATTAAACCATAGCTCTAATACCATTAAATATAACACTCCTAACTAGTACCCAACTCGGATACGAGTCCGAGGTGTCACATTGACTTTTCAAATCATTGACTATTAAAAACTAGGGAAAATTTAAACTTTTTATTGGTATTAAAATGGTGGAACCCTTGAATTAAAGTAAATAATAAAAACTCACACTCATATTCACACACTTAATAATTTACAATAAATACAAAAAGTATAAGTTTACAAAATAGATCAGGGCATTTTAATTTACAACGTATAGTATATGCCAACAATATTACCAAAATAAAGAACCTACATTCAAATAAATCTGATCTGACCCTCCTCAAGAGTATGATGTCCTCTTCTAACTTTAATCTTCTCTTTTCTTCGAACCTACGAATGAAACAATCACACGCTAAATCATCTACTTAGTGAGGCAATTACGAGTCAAATAAAACTTTGTAGATTGAAATTTTTATTCATTTCATAGAAACATTTCATAACTAATTCAAATTGCTTTTCATAACAAGAATACATTCTTTTATACTTTGTTCGGCTTATATAACTTAGTTTTCAAATGCCCAATGTATATTACTGAGAACTCTAAGTATTTGAGTACACTGAGGTTGTGCACAAATGTTGTCACCACAACTCACATAATTTGCACCGACGTGCCACATATTTGTCCCGAAGGACCACATAGTTTTCTCCTGAAGGAGCACATAGGATTGTCTTGAATGACCACATAAGTTTGTCCCGAAGGACCACATAGAACCCTCGACTCTTTTCATGCCAACTATACCTCTAATTCTCATACATATACCTTGATCTTTTTAACCACATAATTATTTATCATTTCATTATTCAGTGTGTATCTTGTTCACATAGGCACTTTCACATCGAACATTTTTGTATAAGCATATTCACATATCACATTTTCATAATCATATACATATAAGTATCAAAACATAGCTTAAGGAATATAACTTGAATAAAACATTGTAAAAATATATATTTTACATAAAATAAATTGAAAGGTTTTCGATCAAAAACTCTGAGGTGTGTAAAATAAATCCCACGATTTATCTTTAAAACAATGAATGCCCTTTAACAAATAATTTGAAAAATATCATTTTCAATAAAAGGATCGTAATTTAAATATTGACACGAATTCACAACTTCCACCATTTGTGACAATATATAAGCGACAAAGTACCAATTTTGAGCGTTGTGGGGGTGTTTATCCTTCCTCATGCGTAACCGACTCCCGGACCCGTTAAGTCGAGTTTTTGGTAAACGCATACCAATTTTTTGTCTTAAAAAACAATTTTTCTTAAAATTGTTTTAAATGACGTTTTTAGGTATTCAACCTACACAGCCCAAAGGTCAACGGCGACTCCAATTTAAAATTTTCAAATTAATTCAAAATCGCTTATTTTTCAAAATAAACCATAATTGTTTTTTTAAACTTAATTGTTTAAAAAAATAGTTATGACATAACCTCTTCTTTCTACCTCCAGAAAAGAAAAGAAACAGATCAAAGACATGGCAGCTGAAGCAGGAAATAAGGAAGAAGAGATCATGTCAAAGGTGAAAATCACCACCTAAACCCACGTGAAGCCCGGAAAGATGATAGGGAGAAAAGAATGTCAACTAGTCAGATTTGATCTCCCATATCTGGCATTCTATTACAACCAGAAGCTGCAGTTTTACTAGTGTGGGGAGTTGGAAGCGAAGGTGGAGAAACTCAAGGATGGGCTGAGGGTGGTTTTGGAGGAGTTTTATCAGCTGGGAGGCAAGCTTGGAAAAGATGAAGATGGGGTTTTCAGGGTGGATTACGACGATGATATGGACGGCGTCTAGGTGTTGTAAGCCGTCGCCCAAGGGATCGCCGTCAATGAGCTCGCTGCCGATGAAGGCACGAGCTCTCTCAAGGACTTGATACCCTACAATGGTGTCCTCAACTTGGAGGGCTTACACAGGCCTCTATTGTCTGTGCAGGTAAATATGTTTCTTTTAACTTCTAGTTGTTGGTTCATTATATTGATACTGTTAGATCCTACATGCACATCAGAATTTGGCCTGCAATTTTCTTCGGATTGACAAATGAGTACTATATGTAATTAGCTCATTAATCATCACTTAACATTTCTACTAGTTATTTAGATATTTTGTTGAAAATGAAATTGGCTTTATCCATTGAAGGTAGATCCAGATGAAAGGACTAATTGGTGGGTCTAATGCCATGTGAATTTTTAATCTTCTCCATCTGATTTTTCATCCGCCCAAAATTTATTTAATACTTTAGGAGTATTTTATTTTCATCATATAAAATTAAGGATAAAGTATACAAATGTTTATTCACTATAGGATTTATTTTGTTGAGTTGTCATATTATTAAAAGTTATAAAATGTTCATCCGATTATTCGTATATTCCAAACACATCATTTTTTCGTTAAAATATTGATGATCGTCTAAACTGAATGTTAATCTGCCGACTTATATATAATAAAATCATATTTTGATGATGTCTATTGACGTCGTCATTACTTTCAAGAACCGACTCGACGACATAAATCACATAATGTAAACAGAGAATCCACAAAGTACAACTCAAACGGTTATGATATCAAATTTTATCATATCTTAATCAATATGTTAATATCCAGCTTAGATGATTGCCAATTTTTAATAGAAAAATACGAGTTTGGAACACATAAATTATTGAGTTACCATTCTAAAACTTTTAATAGTCATTGATTCAACAAAACAATGAAATCTAATCAAATAACTTTTTATAATTTTTAATACTCAATAAAACAACAATTATAATTGGAGATATTTATATACTTTATCTTAAAATTAGATAATTCTAATCAAAATATTTAAAAGAATATTATTTATCAGTTGATTTAACCTTAAAAGGTTGTTCTATTTTTGTTCGGTTGTGCTCATAATTTCTTATAATTTTCCCAACTCCAGTAGTTAACGAAGTTGAAAGATGGATTGGCAATTGGGTGTGCGTTCAATCACGCCATCCTCGACGGAACCTCGACCTGGCATTTCATGAGCACCTGGGCTCAAATCTGTAGAAGCTCCAACTCGGTTGCCGTCCCACCGTTCCTCGACCGGACCAAAGCCAGAAACACCCGTGTGAAACTGGATCTCTCGCTCCCTCCCAACCCACTAGCCACTTTCAACGGAGATGCCCACCAGCTCAGGGAGAAACTCTGCCCGTTCCCCAAAACCGCCATCGACAAGATCAAGCCCAAAGCTAACTCCCACCCACCAACCCCAGGCTCCAAACCATTCTCCACTTTCCAATCTCTAGCAGTGCACATTTAGCGACACGTGATCCGAGCACGTAACCTTAAACCGAAGACTTCACGGTTATTTGTATCAGGGGAAGAGCGGTGGGAGGAGCATTGATGTGGAGATCACCTTGGAAGCTGCTGCCGTGGAGCAGTTGGAGAAAGACGACGACTTTCTCATGGAAGTCTTGTCCCCCCCCCCCTTTTTTTCCTGCTTCTTATTTAGCATGAACTGGTAGACTAATAAGGGTTCCATTTTCACATCTATTTTGATCAGATAAAAAGCTTGGTCGATTAATGAGAATGAACTGATCTCTATGAATGTGAAAATAATTTCCACCCTTCAATAATATCCGTGTTTATTAAGCTGTTTTCTTTTGTAGAATGTTTAAGGTGTTTGAATTGATTTGTATCGTTAATGCCTTAATTATCCTGACATTCAATAATCTTATTATTTGTTTTTTAAAATAATCACTTATATTACATTTTAATTTCATTTTGATTATTCACCGATTAAAAATTAAGTTTCATTTTGATTATTCACTGATTAAAAATTAGCATAACTACTGTTATAATAATTTTTTTAAATTTTTTTAATAATTATATAATATTATCTTATGATAACATATCAACGTCACCTTTAATTTTTCTAAAAACAAATAACTAAAATAAAATTAAAATATAACGTTAATAATTATTTTAAAAAAATATTAATAATTAAATGACCAAACCAGAACTAAAATGACAGGTGGATGACTAAATAGTTTACCCTTAATATTAACTTTGGATACAAGTTGTTACTGAAATGATTTAAAAGATTTAGTTCATTAATTTTCATGTTATAGTACCAAAAAGTTGTCAAATCAATGAAAACAAGATCAAATTATGTAGTACAATTACCCTAGCCGACTACGTACGGACAAAAACATTTGCAAATAACTAATAATATACAGTCAATCAATCAAAATTTAGAAGAATCGTAAAGGAACAAAACGTGGTGTTTCTTTCCTTTTTTTATACTTGTTGACAAGGCTACAGTCCCTTGCTCCGAGGCTTCTGTAAGATTACTCGATCTTTCTATCCCCATTACTGTCATTTCATGTCTCGCTGTCAGGTTTCCGAGATGGAAGCATCCCACCAGCCACGGTTTCCTTGGTAGTAGCTGTTGACAATTTTGATACAAATAACACCACAGTGAGAAAGAGAGGCAATGGACAGAAATTAGACAGATAAAAAAAAAACTGACCATCTTGATTTGGGGATCCTAGTTCTGTTTCTCCAGGAGAGGCGGTCTGGCCCTGCTGTTTCGAAGCTGAAGCTTTTAGCTGCTCTTCTGTGATCTTCAAGTACTCTTCACTAGTATACGCCTCGTTTACTGATTGTATGAAACCTGCAGTAAGGTGACGAATCACATGCTTCTTTATATAACTTTGACATATACAAAGGGAATCGACCACGACATCATAAACAGACGGAGTGAATACTATATGGTAGGATTTATTGCATGTTTCAGGGTAAGAGATTCATAAATAATGTATGAAGGATTGGAAACAATAAGACAAAATCATGACATTAATAGCCTTGAATATGAGAATATGAAGCACTTACCCAGGTCAGCCTCACTACCAGTTTCCTCGGCGCTGTTAAACGGTGAAGGGGTTGGAGGAGATCTTATATAGGGGCTGTTTCTATTCGGCGTGTTCTGTGTTGAACTTGGCATTTCGTCAAGACCGATCTCTCGTTCAAGGGTGCTCTTGAATTCCCTTGAGACTTCCTTCACAGAATATAAAATGGCGAAGATTTCAGAAGGGCAAAGCTATTACATGGTAAAGATACAAGTAAAACCAAAAGGTTCAGCCCTTACCAGAAGTTCTCTAATTGTGGGTTGGAATGCTCGCAATGTTTTTCCCAGATTCCTAGCAACCTGCAGTTTAATAGGCCATTTGAGATGCTGAAAGAATTTAACTTGAACAGAATATTATCCTAACTATATAAGGTTCTGTTTGATGGTTATATTATAATATTTAATACTTTGTTTTTGCTTCCTCCAAAATTTTCTTAAAAAAACAAATTGATATTAAAAAATAATAATAATAAGTAGCTCAAATGTGACAACCTAAACATAATTATCTCATATAAAAGGAAAGCCGCACAATTTGTAACAAAAAGGCCGTCTATTTTTCACTTTTAATTATCAAAAATAAGTAGCAAAAGAAACAATAAAAATGCAGACTAAACAGCTACTGGCCGCATCGTGCTAAACTCCGAGAATAATCATTTACTAAATGCGTCAAAATGACTCCTATGCAGTTATAAATAAATTCTTGATAAGTTCAAAAGTATCACAATGCAACTTCTACTTTCAGGATCAACGCAGCTAAGCACTTTATCTATTTTCTTTTGGTGCCCTTGTGACACTTCAGACTTCGTGGAAACAGCATATGATTTCCAATTCTTATCACAATACATAAGTATATATTCAACTTTAGATCTGACCAACTTGAAATCCAATGGATGAAAAGTGACATACAGCATATGATTACCAATTCTTATCACAATACATAAGTATATATTCAACCCTCAGATTTGAACAACTCGAAGTTCAATGATGAAATGTGGCATACAGCATATAATTACCAATTCTTATCACAATACGCAAGTAAATGTTCATCTCTTAGTAAATGTTCAACTCTTAGTAAATATCTTTTAACTGTAAAGTCCCAACAACTGAGATGCTTTTAGATATATCGAGCCATTTAGTAAAATTTCAAAGAGGGGTCTCAGGTAAAGACTAAAGATCAGAATCACTAAAGACATCCAAGCATGCTCGTCGGGAAGGCATAAGTTGGAACTAGCTCAGAAAGTATGACGAAACTTAGAGATTAAAATAGGGTAATGCAATGGTGTTTTCCTTGCCAGACAATGGGAAAGTCATCGGAGTCATATAGTCAACAAAGATCACCAACGGAATGCATTGGCTTAGATGAAAATGTTTTCACATAAGGGGCAAAAAGACATTATCTTGTCGAAGATCACTAACAAAATGCATTGGCTTAAATGAAAATGTTTTTTACACAAGGGGCAAAAACACATAAGTATGATAAAAACAGCAGGCAGTAAATTTCTGTGTGTTGACAGAACAAAATAAGATTTCATCGCAACTAAAAGGATTCACCAACTACCTTTTCATAATATTCCAAGCACCCTTTAGAAAATTCTAACCATCTAATACTATATCTTTATGACAGAATGCATACCATCAATCACTGATTGTTGCTTAACCAACTGGGTATTATTCATTATTTGAAGCATTGAATAGAGATTAATATTTGAAACTAGCTGCCATAAGGCCTATGTTTCCAAAGATTATCACTTACCTTAATCCAATACGCAATACCCGCATGAAATTACAAAAATGGAACTGTATAAACACATATATCTATGTGAAGGAAACAAACAGTAAGGAAAATCATCAAATATTACAAACCTAAAAAGGAGCAAGTGATGTGTTGATGCCTATACTAAAATTGAAAGATGTAAAATGGGTGTACCTCAGCCAAACCCTTCGGACCAAATACCAACAAAGCAACCACCCCAATTACCAAAGCCTCAGGTGCTCCAACCCCAAACAAAGATGCATGGACCACCTTTCCTTTACATCTTCCCCTTCTTTCTGAAACATCCCCGTTTCACAGAAGAAAATAATGGATTTGAGGATCAAATAAAAAGAAGTTTAGAGTAAAAGTCTAGAGCATAAAAGTGGAGACCCGGACAGAAGATACCCGATTTAAGAGATTTTGGTGAGATAGAAATGCCCAGATGCTTCAGACCACTCCATTGAGAGAAAATGGAAGGACCCAATTGAGGAAACCAGGTGGAGAAACGGAAAGGCGAGGGTTTCCGAAGTGAAAGCAAAGGAGACAAGGAGCAAGTAGCCGACTTGGAGCTTGCAAAAGATGTGCATAAGAATGTGGAAGGTGAGATGGAGGACGCCATGGCCGTAAGTCTTGTCATTTGAAGAGGGTAAGCTTAGACTTTTGGAAGCATGGACATGGAGGGGACCAAAAAATGTTATCTGGAATAGGGAAGCGGAAGAAATCCCAAAATGTAATGCGTGGAAAATACAGCAAAGTTTGATTTGGGAGCTTATTTGATCCAAGCCAAATTCTAGCTAGTGATCTCAGTATAGGCTTGGTGGGTCGAGAATTCTGGCACTTTGAGTTACCCAAAGACATGGACTTTTCCACAATATTTACACAATGTATGGACAGATAGCTATAAAGATAAGGAAATTATAGTTTTTTTCTGGGTAAACTACACCAATGATAACTAATGTTTGAGTAAGTTTTTGTTTTTCCCACTAAAGTTTTAAAAGTGACAAACTGGTCACAAACATTATCGATTTATAAGAAATTTGTCACTAACATTATTTATTTATAACAAAATGGTCACTCTACCCTCATCTCCATTAAAATGATGATGTGACAATGTTAAGAAAATAGTTAATATTTAGTTTTACCCCTAAATTATAGCTAAAACATCAAATAAGTTATTGAACAATGATTTTATATTTAATTTACCCCCAACTTTCTAATTTCAATTTTTTCCAATACTCCACCATGTCCACTATATTCGAACTACCTTTCTTACAAAATAACAAATGGTGGAGATCTAAAAATAGTTTCGTTTTCATTTTTTATATATACTTTCTCATTTTTATTTTTAGGATGAGATGTTTAGATTGTTACTGTAAGAACACAACAAAACGACAAATTACAGTATTGTTTAAACAAACAGAGTCAAATGCATCTATTTTACTCAATCAAAGAGACCAAAAGATACAAAAAAGTAGCAAACAAAAAAATGGAGCTTCAAAACCTATTGAAGAAGTTGGAGATGGATAACCATGCATGGCAAAAAGTGGTGCGCGAGAGCGAAGCGATGGTTGTGTCTCAAAACAATATAATGGAAACATTATTAGAACAAGTAACTGTCAACAATGGAGTCAACGATGCAGGCTCATGGTTTGAAGTTAAAGATTAACAAAACGAAGAAAGAATAAGAATGACAAAGGTTTACAAATGTTGTGATACTCATGGTTTACAATCTCAACCTCTCATCCTGAAAATATGAAAATGAGAAAGTATATATAAAAAATAAAAAATAAACGATTTTTAAATCTTCATCATATATTTATTTTGTAAGGAAGGTGGTTCGAATATAGTGGAGGTGGTGGGGCATTTGGAAAAAACTAAAAATAATAAGTTTTTAGGGTAAATTAAATATAAGTCATTGTTCAACGACTTATTTGGTGTTTTAGCTATAGTTTAGGTGTAAAACTAAATATTAACTATTATCTTAACTTTACCACATCATCATTTTAATGGATATTATAGGTAGAGTGATCATTTTGTTATAAATCGTTAACGTCAGTGACCATTTTGTTACAAATAATGTCAGTGACCAATTTGTCACTTTTGAAACTTCTATGGGGAAAATGAAAACTTACTCAAACATTAATGAACATTAGTGTGGTTTATCCTTTTTTGTTAAAAATATGTGTTGATTATAAGATAGTATTTGTTCAGAATTTCTTTTAATTAATTTATTACACATATATACTTTATAAACACAATTGCTCAAACATAAGATATTAAAAAAATATTCCTTTTAACCAGACCACTCAATGAGTTCTTATATAATGGATATATGTAATTTTTTAAACTGATTAGTATATATGCAATACCCCAAATTTTGACTAGGGACTAAAATGTAAGTTTGGAAAGTTTAGTGGCTAAAGTATAAATTTTGTAAAAGTTTAGGGACCAAAAATGTAATTGTGAAAAGTTATATATTTTAGACCGTAAATGAACAGTTTAGCATAAAACAATAATTTTCGTTGGAATCGTATTTCGGTACGGGATTTGTGTTAAAAGCTATAAAATGATAAAGTTCGGTATAGAAATCTAATAATTGGATCAACTCGGAATTTCACAAAAATTTGAAGGACGCTATTTAAGGGTTGGAAATGTTATTTCCATATTTTAGATTTGATAAATTTAGCCCAAATTAGTGTAATTTTTTAGACTTGTCCGAACAGTGGAATTATATTAACTAAAATACAATTTTTGAAAATTGTATGACCAAAGTAGAAAGTCAAAGCCAAGTTGATTCTTCTTTGACTATGGAATATTTTAATGGAAGATATTTTAATGGAAATTGGTAATTATCATGGTTCATTAAGGGTGAAATTGAAATTTCTCATAAATTGAATTTTATATTTAATTTTATTAGAATGCTGCAAAGTTTTTTAATTGATAAATACAACAAAAATCAAAAGAATTTTCATCTACTTCTCCTTGTTTTGGCCGAACCTCCATAGTCATTTGGTAAGATTTTTTTCAAGCTTATTCGATTGATTTTTGGATTAAGCTATTAAATAGAGAATTAGTCTACATGAAATTCTCTATCATTTGGTATAAATATTACATGGTGGTCATGCTTATTTTAATAAATTGAAAATTAGGGTTTATGCAGAGTTTATGTATTTTTAAGAAATGATGAAGTATTATTATGTTTTTTAGGTTAGAGATTAATTCTAAGGCATGTGTGGTAATTAAAATGATGTGTAGAAGCTTATAATTCATTTGGCCATATTAGGGTTTTTGTGAATGTTGAGATTTTGATTTAGTTTGAAGTTGTGATGATCAGAATAGCATGAATTTGATGTAAGGAAGTTGAATTCATCCTTGAAGTTGTGTAGAAGCTTATAATTCATTTGGCCATATTAGGAATTTGATGATCAGAATAGCATGAATTTGATGTAAGGAAGTTATAAAGCTGATCGGAACCAAAGTTTAAATTTGGTAAAATTTAGATGTGGAATTCAAATGTCTTGATATTATAGGGACTTGTTTGTGAATTTGAAAAAATGTGTTGGTATTATCTTGAACAAGAACTTACAATACTGGAAATTTATTTAGTATGCTGATTTTTGAGTTTAAATATTGAGTTAGGATTTAATTACAAGTTTATGAAGATGGATGGTTGAATTCGAAAAGTCTAAGAAACTTTGGGACAAAATTTCAAGTTTGTGAATGTTAAAGTATTGATTTGAAGATCTTATTAAGATTATGGAAATTTTAGTAACTAAGGTGAAATGATCATAATAGTGAAAGGTTATTATGAAGTTAATGGTTAGGTTAAGGAGAATTCTATAAAGAATTCATAATTTGTGGCTTGATGGTGGAATTGGAAAAAGTTGAAGGGTTTACGATGACAATAAATATTTTTGGAATTCAATGAATAATTTGAGAAGTTTGAAATTATGATGGAAATACGATTTAGTTTTATATTGATTTAAACATCGATTTTATTTCTATTGAATCATATATTTAAGCTTAGATTATGTTATTTTGATACTAACATATAATTTGAATATTTTATGTTATTATATGACATCGTCATACCATGATAAATCTAGTGATCCAAGTAACTTGAAAGGGAAGGAAAAAGTGCGGGATTGAGAAGACTATCATAGAGAAGGTTCAATAGTGTGGCAAAGTTAAGCGCATATTTAATTTGTACTTATATTATTGAACGAACATTAGCTTGCGATGAGCCAGTGATGGAGTTACTATGGTAAGAAGTGACTCCTAAATATTATGTGATTTGTGATTCACGCACATTAGTTCATTTGGTAAGCTAATAATTTATGGAATAAGCTAAGGACGCTAATTAAGGTAAGCTGCCTAGAAATTTTGATTTGAACAGTAAGTTTAGAAAATCATCATAAATTATAAAGAAGTGATTAGAGGATGAAATCTATACCATTGTATTTTTATATTAGTCTAGTTTTGTTTAAAAAACGGATACTAATTTCAAGGTGTACACAAAAAGATATGAATTTTTAATCGATGATAGGTCAGAAAACACGGTAACAGATTCTACTCAAAACAGTTTTTGTTAGTTAGTTTTGAAAATTCACTATAAATTGTACAAGTTGAACTAAGAGAAGAACCTTATATGGTTAGAATCGCATTTGAGTTTAGTTTCAATAGGTACAAACTAAATAATTTATAATTATGTATATTAATAGAGAATAATACTTCTTTGAAGATTGTGCAAAATGCTAAAGTATGCAATTTTGATAAATTTTATAGTCAAAGTAATCAAAAGCAAGGGATTAAACTTAAAGCTTAGTGAGGCTTACAATTTTGATTTATAAAGTGTCAAAGTGAGTACAATTTTTTTATTTAAATATTCTAATAGAGGAGGACTTGCGATAAGTCAACCTCATATTATTTTTCAAGTATGTTTTCTAGTTTAATTATGGATTATTTCCATAATGTTTATATAAATGTTTTATGGATGATTAAGGGTATGAATTGACCAAGTTCTATTTTGACGATTTTAAAGTAATAATGATTCTGAATTTGAAATATTGATTATGAAACGAATAAGATATGTACTGAAAGCTCATTGCATGTTGCATTGAGAGTCATAGGTACAATTGTCATGCCATGAGGTGGAGTGATTATGATTATGATTATAATCTGGTACATTTGTGTACATTATGTGTAGCACCATTAATGCAAATGATATGAATGCACTTGAAGTGAATATTCTAATTATGATGTTAGAACTGAAGTGCTTATTGCGCACACTCGTCTGACTCATGTACCTTGCATTCTCTTACATATACATTGGACTATAAAAGTAATCGTGAAAGTTATTACAAGAATATGAAAGAAAAGGATATCGAAATGAAATGAAAGTTTTGAAATATGTATTAATGAAATGAATAAGAATTATTTGTTATGTTTAATGTTGACTTATATGATTTTTGATAAAATCATGAGATAATGATTTTCAGGTTTTTCAAGAGGAAAATAACTTAAATTTAAAAATTTTAATGTTTTTGTTTAAATTACATTTTTATGTTTATACTACATTATGATATTAATGTTTATCTCACCTTAAATATGTTACTGCCTGACTAAGTTTTACTTAGCGAGTGATGATTTTCATGCGTAGGTTCAAATAGAGAAAGGAACTTGAAGTGAGGAGTCT